TCCACTTTTCCAACAGTAAACAAAGTCCTGCGGAACTTTTCAAATTTGGCTTGTCCTTGGAAAGTTCCGGTGAATTGTCTGAGTTAGCGAACGAAAGTTGGCTATGTGGAGAATTTGCAGTTTGCTTCCATTCGTGTCACGGAAAGTTCTCTTGAGGGTGTATCTCTGGAAGCAGATCTGGTATCGAAGAAAATCATGAGACAGGTATTTCCCGCGTTCTTTCCTATATTATTTCTTTCTCAGAAGCTTGAAAACTCGTTTAGGTTATGAAGATATTAGATTCCCTTACCGTAAAAGTCAGCGGGTTCAGCGATCCTGTGCGCGTGCGCGCCACCGAAGCCAGATGCGACTTTCCTAGGTGAGTGGCTCTCCTTATATTCTTTCGTTTTGATGAAATATCTCTTTTAGGCGTCATGATTGGGACCTTTTCTTCATGAAGAATAAGCTAGATGAAAGTAAACCGGGTGAGCGACCAGACACCGTTTACTTGGAGAAAATACCAATCAAATGGTTTGCGGTTAGTCTTTATTGTCTTTTTTTTTATAAACCTCATAAAGCAAGAGAATTTAGTTTGTGTCGAATTTCAAGTTTGAGTTGCTTTGTTTCAGACAAATCCATCTCTTTTTCTTGTCCCCCCCCCCCTTCTTGCATTTCCGGGTAGAGGATTTTACGTCATTGAAAGAGGAGGTTCCACCCAGTTGGGCATCTGCAACGTCTACCCATCTCTGGCATGTATTAGGTTGCAGTTGTTCGCGAGGGACTTTTCTTTTCGATACATAATCCTCTACCCCCATTTTCTTGGTGCTGGGACAAAATAATGTCTATTTAACACCCATCTTGCTGCTCTCGTTCCTAATCAACTCAAAATTTTATGTAGGGAAGGCAGTGCATTTCTCTCCGATGAATGTTTAAAATATTAGGTCGGTCCGACGTCGTTTCATCTTCAAAAAATTGTGACTTTGCGCAGTCACTATGGATTTGCTCATGCTCAATTTTACTAGAAGGAACAAGTAAATCGCTTTCGAACATTGTTTTGCAGAGCATCTATTTCACACTGACTGCAGAGATAAAAATAAAGGAAGACTAGGTAAGCTTTGATTATTATAAGTTAGGTCACCAGAATTCTGGGAATCGCGAAAAAGTATAAAACGTCGTATAGAGGTTATATGACATGCTCTTTGTAGCTGAGAAAA